TGTCATGTTCTCTTGCGGCAGTGTTGGTAATGCTCGGTGCAATCGTTCTAAGTAGATGAAACAAGCGTGGAACGCCAGACAAACGTAGCAGTTGGTAGCTCGCTTGCGGGTCGTCTTGTGTGCGTGTGTGTGTGTGTGTGTTTTCGTCCNATGGGCAGGTGCACCTGTGCCCGAGCTGAACCTTTGAAGAAGTCGACCTCACTCTTTTCTGGGTTTGCGCGTACCTCTTCCACGGTTGGAATTCCCACAGTGTTTGCCATTTTGCCGAGAACGATCTTGCTTACTGCCCATATCATCACGTTGTCATGTTCTCTTGCGGCAGTGTTGGTAATGCTCGGTGCAATCGTTCTAAGTAGATGAAACAAGCGTGGAACGCCAGACAAACGTAGCAGTTGGTAGCTCGCTTGCGGGTCGTCTTGTGTGCGTGTGTGTGTGTGTGTGTTTTCGTCCTATTTTTTATGGCGACAGTCCCCCCATTTTTCGTGGTGAGACGTGTATGTAGAGTACTACACTTTTCAGTGTATTTTTCGTACAACTACAACCATCCAAGGGTCACACAGGAGGGGGTTTATATATATTCCTTTCATGCCCCACCTTCCTCCTGCGGTGCGTGCTCAATTTTATTTTTATCGCGAGAAGGGTCCAGCCGTCCCTTTCCCTCGTCAACGGTGCTAACGTCGAAGTTTGGTACTCACGAGAGCTTTTTACCTATATTTCGCTTTCACACGCAAATGTCGTCAATTTTTCACCCCATGGGGATTCAAACTCATGACCTCTGCGACTAGCGGATTACGAGGATACCACTAGACCACCGGGGCGCCCGGTTAGATGGGAACCGAAGAAAACACCTGTGTGTTTAGTACAGTATAGTATTGGCGGTACTGTATTCAGAACCTGCGAGGAATACTGGAATATACTGGCTGTTTTAGTACAGACCTCGATACTGGAAGAAACGTTTCAGTACTTTTAGTACAGCTTTCGATACTGGAATAAACGTTTCAGTACTTTTAGTACAGCTCTCGATACTGGCTGTACTGGCTGTTTCAGTACAGCTCTCGATACCGGAATAAAAGTTTCAGTACTTTTAGTACAGCTCTCGATACTGGCTGTACTGGCTGTTTCAGTACAGCTCTCGATACCGGAATAAAAGTTTCAGTACTTTTAGTACAGCTCTCGATACTGGAATCAAAGTTTCAGTACTTTTAGTACTGCTTTCGATACTGGAAGAAAACGTTTCAGTACTTTTAGTACTGCATCCGATACTTGCTGTTTCTCACATTTGCTCTCTAGTCCACAAAAAATGGGGAGCCCGTGGTCTCAAAACTCGGCACATACGACGCCGCGGGGAAACAAAACAAAAATCGGCTACAAACCTCTCGGAACAAGAAAACAAAATGATAGAAAGAAAATAACAGGTATCGCACCGACCGTTCGAGAAAAGAGCCCTCGGAAACCGATCAAAAAAATACAAAAACAAAAATAAAGGAGGACGCTTCCCACACCCGCCCAAAGGAAAAATCAAAGGGTGACGTACCAGCACCAGGCACTACGCACCAGGGCATGGGAGTAACAGAGCAAACAGGACAAAGAGGCGGCAGATGGGCAGACAGCCTGACGTACAAAAACAAAGGCAACAGCAAAGCGAGATCACGGTAGGTACCCAACACAGCAGAGTAGGCAGGGAGATCATGAAAAAAAGAAACACAGAAACACAGCACAGAGGCCAAAGGCAATACAAAGGACATACATGAAGGAGTATAGCATACAGCAGGGAGGAAAACAGGGCGCAACAACATCAGCCGGGCACATAGTTCGCCACAAGTGCTGCCTCGGCCGCCCTACTCGCTTCTACAGCAGTGCCCGGTCGCCGTTTCTTCCCCCCCACCGCCACTGCTTCGGCTCTCTTTCTCTTCGGTCCTGAGGCCGTACTCTCTGCTTCTGCTTCCCTCGCGCGCTGGCGCTTCGCGGACGCTTCCGCCTCCTTCCCGTGTCATTTCCTCACGAACCATGCCGCCCCGCCCTCGACCTTGTTGTACCACACCTCCGGGTCCTTGGCGCTCTCTTTCCATTCACCCCCCTTCCTTTTCGTCTCCCATGTTGAAGGCCACGAGGTCCTCTCCTAGTCGAGACACCCAGTCGCTCTCCTGCCCGCCCCGGTATCCCACGCCCGCCGTCATTGCTCCTGACAGCATGCGCTTGGGGAGGCGGTTGTCCTCCATGCGCATAACGAAGCCCGC